AAGGCCCAAAAGCACCCGAGATAAGACCAAGATAATCTGGGGTGGTTAACTGAAAACATACACAAAACCTGAAAAATGTCAACCAGTCACCAATTTGTGACAATAAAACAATTCCAGGCTGCAACATCTGTCTGTACAAAAGTTATTCCGAGGCATCCATGATCACGCCTTTTCCCAGTCTCAAGTAACCTGAACAACGTTCATGAAGTTCATCCATTAATATAACAAATCATCCGGGTGATGAATAATACGACAGATTATAACCAATACAGTTGAATCTGAAAGTGTTACGATATATAATGCACTGGCCTTCGTTATTTAAGCCACACACAAAAGAGAAAAAAGAAAGTTAATGTCACAATATATATTTTCCGATGCATGTCTTATGAAAAACGAAAAGAAACTAGGCAGCAAAACTGTGCTGACTGTACAGATGAGGCTGAGACTAAGGGACCACGGAGATGATGCCTAGCATTGTCCACATATAGATTCCTTGATGGTAAATGTGTCGTTCAGGGACCTGATGAAGTGGTAGTCATTGGCTTTGCAGAAGGGGCATATAACCATGCGGCTGTACTGACTAAAGTAATCCAGGCCCACAGAAATGTCGATGACTGCTCGGTGACAGTGTTTGCAGGTGAGCCTTTTTTGGCAACAAGGCATAGCCGCAAAAATGTCATATGTGTACATGGTGCCCACAACAAAGGATGTCCCATCCCAGAGGGTCTTGCAGGATGAGCATTTAGCTTCAGATGATCCTTCAAGACAATTGATGCAGACTGCATTCAGGAACTGAATCCTTCCTTCCCAGATGACCTGAACAACAAACTGGTCGTAGGCTTGAGGAGAAAGGAACAATGTTCCATCGACAAGAGGGAACCTATCAAAGACTGGCAGCTGTGTCTTGCACAGGACACATCGTAGGGCTGTCATACGTTTATTCGTCAGGTTGCTGAGGACAAAGTTCCTGGTATCCTCATCTTCTTGAATGTCTTCTATATGAATGTTATAAGGGTTCTGTTTGTTGCGGGGTAACGAACTGAAGGCCGAGAAATCATGGCGATGGCGAAACATGCCAGTGTGGTTTGTGTCAAAATTATCCACTTTCTTGCCTTTCAGAAAGATATTTCCATTAACTGGTGAGGTGGACAAGGGCGAGGCTGACCCTGCAGAGCTGGGGATGCTTCCACTGCTGCTACCTTGACTGCCAGCACTTCCAGTGCTGCTGACGCTGTTGGTTCGCAGGCGAAGGCCGTTGCTAGGCAGCACTGAGGTGCCACCAGAGAAAGCCACACTGACTATACCATTCTGGATGATGATGTTGCTGATGCTTTCATTGTCGTTGGTGTCATTTTGATCCACACTGTTATTTCTACTTCTGGCTACCGTGGTAACACTATTACCATTGGCTGTGGTTGATTTTGCAGAAGGATTGTTGTTGACAGTGTTGTCACTTCCACGACGCTTGGTGCCATTAACTACAGCAGGATGGTTGTTCACCTGTGGGTCTTTCTTCTGCAACTTGGTAATGTTATCCACAGGCTGTTGCTGCTGCTGCTGATGATGGTTGTGGTTGTCAACTGGCTGACCATGATGATGCTGACCAACATTATACCCTGCCTTGTGGTTGGTGCTCACAACTGGCATCGGCTTATCGTTTTTCTTCTTATTCTTTCGAATTTTCCTGGCATTATCATTCAGTGGTGGGGGTATGTAATCCAGATCCTTGCGCAAATGTCCACGACTGCACTTGCAATCACAAGCTTTATACGCCAGATCGTACCCCTTCTTGGTCCACAAATTCTGCAGTCTCTGCTTCTCGCTCCAACTTCGGGCCCGTCCACAAGATCTCAGAAAGGACAGAACAGACTGCTCCCAAAGCTTGAAACACTCCTTGTGCATCCAGTTCCCTTCGGTGCAGCCATCATTATTACACACCACACGCACCGCATCGTACGGATCGGTAACATCGATAGGATCATCCATGCAGCCGGTAGGTACGCAACACTGTTGAAACCTTCCAGCGTTGTCTCCATCATGCTGGTGATGATGATGATGCAGCTGCTGCTGTTGCTGCGGTGGCTCCTGGTGTTGTTCTACCCGTTCCCTGTGGTTGTTGTTTACATGCCGTTCACCATTATTTACCACTTCGTTATCAACAGCCTCCTGTACGTTGCGTTGATTCTTATGGTGCTTTGCATTAGGCATTGCTACTGAACTTTTTCCTCTAACAGACAAAATAGGCTAGCGACAATGCAGTTTCTGTAAAATTGCACACAATTCACAAGTACAACTTTACTCACAGAACATGACGCCGGTTTCTCCAGCAGAAGAGATCTGTTGTTTTTGCCTTGAGGAGGTGTGTCAGTCGCGGGCTGGCGTTGGCAGATGTTAGACTGGCTGCGATTGGCTATCTCTAGTCATGTGCTTGCCGGTAGCGGCGATGATTGGTCAGACCGTGACCTTCCATGTTAATGAGGTGGCTGTTTACAACTTTCCGGGTTTGTGGGTCGAGGTCTTCTGAGCCTCCCCGGCCGGTCCACGGGCACGACAAAAATATGGAGTTGTAATACCTTTTCTGCTTGTTATTTCTTTTCAGTACTCAGTTCATCTAAAGGCTCGCCAAAGCTTTCCCCCAGTGTCTTGCTTCTTCTTCTTCAAGACTTGCAAAATGGCGTGTGCGATCATGTCTTTCCATTCTTCTTGGTGCTGTATACCAGCTATATATGTATGTATGTATGTACACACACAAACACACACACACACGCACACACACACACACACACACACACATATATATATATATATATATATATATATATATATATATATATACCCCGGCCGGTTTACCGTCAGGGCTAGTTTTATTTTTTTCTGACACATTTCTGTAATTTTCAGTAATTATATACTCCGCAGGGTTTACTTTAATGTTTTAATAAAAAAAAAAACATGCTTCCTTTAAACCTCAGTTATTGCTGACTCATGGCGATCGTATGCTATACAGAACAATATACCCTGTCCGGTAAACAACACGAAATTGGTTACCTTTTCGGGCTGATATTTATGTTCTTTCCTCGGTTATTTGCGTACTTAACTATCCTTTTTAATTTCATTTTCTTCAAGACTTGCAGGCTGGCGTGCACGACCTCGCTTTCCACATTTCTTGCAGTGCTTTATACACCTGTCGTTCCACAGTACAATTTGGAGTGATTCCCTTTCAGATTTGTTTCTGTTATTTGTTAAATATACACACGCTAACACACACACACTTGCTAAATGTTATTTTCTCTTTAAGAGTTGTAGAATGGAGTGGGCGACCATATCTCTTCTAACCTAATAGTGCTATATACCCCGGCCGGTTGATAAGGGAAAAAAAAATTGCAGTGACACCTGTCTGACCTGTTATTTCTATTTTTTACTCAGCTATTCACGTACACGCACGCGCGCGCGCGCGCACACACACGCGCGCGGGTGCGTACTTCACTGTCTCTGCTGAAAATGTTTCCTCTAGTTCAGCGGTTCTCACCAATGAACAACCCTTTCACAGAGGTCGCCTAGGACCATCGATAAACACATATTGACTGAAGTAATGAAGTAGCAATGACAATAATTGTATGGGTGGGGGACGCCACAACATGAGGAACTGTATTAAAGGGTCGCAGGATTAGGAAGGTTGAGAACCAATGCTCTAGTTAAACAGGGCGCTCATGCCCTTCTATAAGTCTAAGCGTTGTGTGTGCTATATACCCGAGCCGATTGACAGACAACAACAAAAACGGAGTTAACCGCTTCTGACTTTTTTCCCCCTGTACAATTCTCAGTTATATGTACACACCATTCAATATAATAGTTTCCCTTCTTCAAGACTCTTGCAGGAAAGCGTGGGCGATGCCTCTATAGCTTGCGGATCTATATTCGACAGGCAGAAACTCAAGATACCCTGTCTGACTTGTCGGCGTCTGTGGCTTAAAGCGTTGCAAACGCATTTTGTAATTCCGATGTCCTTTTTCAATTCCAACTGCAGGCAATTTAACAGCAGACCGCTTTGTAACGATTCGTATCTTAACTGAATGGTATCGAGAGCTTATTGCTCAGGATCAAGACTCGTGCATAATAGTTTGATCAAGCATTCATTTCTATTGCCTTCGCTTTATCGTGCTATATAAGAAAAACAAACACCAAGGTTCACGATCCAGGTTGAGAAGATAAAGAGGCGAAAATGCCCTTCCATAGCCGCTGAGTTTGTAGTGCCACAAACAATTGTATGTGTCTTATTTCCATTCAATAATGTAAGACTTCCGATGGTGACATTAGAAGAAGATAAAACCTCACCCAGTCGACAACTATCCCTTAAACAGTATGACACAGAATAATATATAATGATTGGCACTCTTTCCTAGGAAGTATAGGCGGTTGGCGTGGTGCTGAACACATAACCCACCAAGTGCCTACTGGTCCATAAAATATATAGTCTAGCTCCAATGCGCATAAAGGCACGGAAAAATGTCTTTTACGTATGTTTCACTTTATTTTTTTTTTTTTTTTGGATTGGCACTCGTAGAAAGAAGTACAAATAGGAAGACACAATAGACCCAAAAAAAAAATAAAAAAAAATCGAAAGTTTCAGCTACCATTCCAGGACTCGAAAGCCTGCCACCTCAAAGTTTCAGAGGAGCCTCAGTGGGGGGAAACATGTGGACTTCGACTCATGATCAACTTGACACCCTTTGATATCTATCCGACCAGCACTGCTGGGTACATCAGGCACGGCAATTCGGCCAACTCCTTGGGCGTTTGAACGAAGAGGGCAGTAAATCACATTTAATCGACTAAGAACAGGACACTGTAGGCACACATGCACAGAATAAAGGCTGCATGATCCAACCAGTGTCCCTCCCAAACCGAACCCGAAACATTTGTGTTGGTACTGCAAAACTGGCCCCTACAGCAAAACCTACGAGAAAACACCTGGCCAGAGAAAAGAAGAATCCAGGACAACCTTTTGGCGAACCCTTGGAGACTTGCTGCTGACGTACCGGTTCATGGAGGCAACACAACTGATAACCTGAGCGGAAGAAACCGATCGCAAAGAAAAAAGAAGAAGAAAAAAAGTGTCAATGTTTTAGCTTTTTTAAAATATCCAGTTACAGAGTCAGGAAACTCGATTTGGGTATAAAAAAAAGTTAAAAAAAAAAAAAAAATGGTACCCAGTCTACAGTTAATTCACAGGTGTATGGTTTGAAGATGAGAAGATGACTTCGGGTTTTAACCCAAAAGGACTGATTTTTCTTCATATATAAATGTTAGTCTCCTGCCGAAAGCGTCACGCCCAGCATGAACCCTGTAGCTCCGGTTTCCATCCTGGAGATCTCTGTAAAAACTGCACTGGTGAGCTGATCAGCGCAACAGTGAAACTAACAAACGACAGGCAAGCGGGCAAGCGGCTTCACCACTTCACCATGGAGGCGCCCATAACATTATAACGCAATGGAACCGGCAATTCGTATCCCTTCTTTACATGTATGAAGGTCCTATTCACGTTTCCCGGCCCATCTACAAACTTTCTCAGTCTGGTCTAGGTCAGAAGGGTGTCACGTTGTACTGTTTTCTTTGAAAAGAGTCTCTCGTGGGACCTAGGCTCAGGCTGTGAGTAGGGGGTGGATGGTTGGGGGGGGGGGGGGGGGTTTGGAGGGGGGGGGGGGGGGGGGTGGGTTAGGGCCAGTTCTAGATGTTATGGAGTCTTTAAAAGCATCGCGTGTAGTATTGAACACGCGACATCGGTGCTGATGTAACTGGAGCCAAGACAACATGACACCCATCTGACGTAGAACAGTCCGAAAAAGTATGAATTAAAGGTCAACCAGTGTGTAGATGGGCCAGGAAACGTGAATAGGACTTGTATGCAATTCCCTATAATTAGATAGCAATTCGCTGCGTGTTTACTTCGTCCATTTACCCTCTAACCCCCCGGACCTAACAGAATTCACGGTCGTCGAGTTAAGCCGTTCCTAGGATAAAAGAAAGGGAAAACTTAGAAGGTAGAGACAACAAAAATAGAGGGGATATAGAGCGAGCTGAATTGAAGAAGATAGAACGACTTGTCTAGCTTGTAAACGGTCTATACTTCACCAGAGATCAAATGGCAGAAGAGAAAGAGAATATTGTCTTATCTGATCGAAATAAGACCATTATGAAGTTGTGCAGACTACGGCTGTTCAACTAAGTTTACTCAGGGGCCAAAATGTTGGATTGGATTGGATTTTTTACCCCACCAGGACATCACACAAGCGATAAACACCCGATGACACAAAGTGCCACCATGCGGATGAGGATCACCGTGGAGAGGTCCCAGAAACCGCTTTCAGACATTTAGCCATAATGATGACCTGCCTATATTGCGGCCCCTGGCAAAAGCCATAGTGGGGCTTCAAATAACAAAAAATTAACGTCCTAAGAAGGACGAAAAGTAGTAATCATATATAGGCCAGAAAGTTGAGTCGTAGAAGATAATTAACTGAATCCAACTGGCAATGATAGGCAGGCAACACACTAGGCAGCCGACTGATTGACTGACTGACGTTCAGCCACACCTGGACGCATACCGAGCAACAAAACAGCCGGTGACACAAAGTGCCACCATTCTGGTGAGAATCACCTAGGCACGGGGTCCCAGAAAACTCCGTTCAACCCATTGGTTATGTTTAGGGCCCTCGGCGACAGCCGGGGTGGGGCTTTAAAATAAAAGTATCCCACACTGGGACAAGGCTAAGGCCTCCGCGGGTCGGATTAGGACCAGACTGCCTCTGGTTAAATAGGTATTGCGTAGTTTGAAGTTTAGAATAACACTGTCGCCATATGTAAGAGCATATGCAGTGTGGTTACCCTCTTGCATGTTTCCTGTGATGCCTGGAACTTCATTCTGGGGAGATTGATTTTTTTAAAGTTTCAATAAAAAAAAAAATAATAATAATAATAATAATAATAATAATACAGTATCTATAGGAGCTGCAGTAACATCTAAGACAGAATCCTTACAAGTAACAGCTACTCCAAAAATGTAAAATAACAGCTACTCCAAAAATGTAAAATAACAGCTACAAGAAAAATGTAAAAAACAGCTACAAAAAAAAAAACAACAACAACAACAATGTAAAATAACAGCTACAGCAAAAATGTAAAATAGGAGTTTCAACATAGATGTAAAATAA